AGACAGTGGTTCTCAACCTTCTGGCCCTTTAAATACAGTTCCTCATATTGTGACCCAACCATAAAATTATTTTCGTTGCTACTTCATAACTGTAATGTTGCTACTGTTATGAATCATAATGTAAATATCTGATATGCAGGATGGTCTTAGGCGACCCCTGTGAAAGGGTCGTTCGACCGCCAAAGGGGTTGTGACCCACAGGTTGAGAACCGCTGCCTTAAGAGCTGCTCCTCATGGCATCCTCAGAACTTCAACCCTAGGTCAGGCCAGAGGGTTGAGATTGAAGGTGGATTCCAGGCAAAGAGACTTAACTATCCTGCTGGTCCTGAGCATCCTGCACGTGCTGCCCTACATATCTTGGGAAGCACTAATTAGAGTGTGGAACCAACATAGCATGTTAAAACGTGACTCTTTAGTCAAAGAACTAGAGCAATGTTTTCAGACTATGAGTTATAATCCTTAGTGGGTTCTGAAATCACTTTATAGGCCTGTGGCCACATGTTTTTTTCAAGAGGATAAAGTAGAACAGGAGAATATAGAAAATAAAATATCAGAACACATTATACAAAGCAAGAATAAGTATTGTATTGTGAACTTGTTTTGGGGTGTGTGTATGTAAATACAGATATACATACGTATATACATACATAAACACAAAGTGACTACATATATACACAGTACTTATAAATGTATAAATGGGTTCCACATTCTTTCTCTGGCCAGGGAAAAACTTATTCCATTATCCCAAACTGGGACAAGAAATGCTTTCTAACTAATGGCAATGCAATGAGGTCATTAACAATGGGGTTTCCTTTATGACTATTCACAATGGTATTTTATTGAAAATTAGCAGTTCACCTGATAATCATATTGTCAAGGCCCAGGGCAGGCTGCCCCGAGATAGCCCACAATGGCATATTGATTAATTTGAACTAAAATCACCCGAGGGGCAGGAAGAACTCCCTGACTCTCCTGACTGCTCAAAAACAGGAAATAAATCTCTATACAGGTGTTCTCCCTGCTCCTGAAGGACTGAGAGGCAACCTTATCACAAAAGGTATAAAATCCAGGGTTGAAAAAACGTGTTTAAAGAAACCTTATAACGCCCAACTTTTGTGCAGGTTCCTCATCGATGAATCCCCAAACTGGCTTAGATTCCTTTCTAATGAGCACTTTGTCTTGTTGATTTTCTCAAAAATTTCTTGTTTCTTTGTCTAAAAAGTATAGATAGGTCCTCGTTCAATCATTTCTTTGAGCCTCATTTTATGATGTCAGCATCAAGTTGTGAATCTCCTATGCACATATTAAATTGTTTTTTCTTCTGTTGATCTAGTCTTGTGTCAATTTTCTTATTTTATAACTAGTCCAGTCATAAGAACTAAAGAAGCATAGAGTGTGGGAAATTCTCTCCCATTCTGCAACAATAGTAAATGACTAATTTTTTTAAAAAAAAGAACATTTTGAGTAGTGAAATTAGTTTTTTAAAGTTTTCTCCCTATTTCCTCTGCATTTTCTGTTATCTATGATAAGCATGCATGCATTGTCTTTATAATGAGAGAAAAATGTATATATCTTTAAAACCAACTAAACCTCAATGCTCTATGCATCAAAGAGGAAACTTTTTTTTTTTTAATCACAAAGACCTTAGAAAGGGTGGTTGGGGGAGGAACCAAAAAGTAGAAAATGTGGAACAACTTCCAAGAGCAAAATAATCTCTGGTGGTTTTGGTTTTTGATAGGGTTCTTGACTGTGCAGTAAGTGCCTAGTTGTGAACATTTACTACTGACTGAAGTGCTTCAAGCCAGTAAAAATAAATAAAATAAAATAAAATAAAATATTTAAGTATATTCAACCTTTATCACTCCATAAATGTTTAAAACAGCAGGCAGCTATAGTAAACTGCACCTGACTTGGCCATTTCTCAGCAGGAAAGAGCTCTCTGGATACCATTGCTGATAAAGGCGGCAGCTTAAAAGTGTTCTTTAGTCAAGGTAATTCTGAAGGAAGGGAGTATTTACAAACCACCAGCACTGGTTGACATTGAAAAATTTGTTTTGATCCTTTGGCCCTTTGAGTCACACCTACTCATTATTGATTTCAACTATGTGCAGTAAAAGGAAACTAAGCAAAAAATATTGTACCTCTCAATGCTTTCTCTCTCAAAATTCGTTTGGTTTGAGGAAATTTTATTGCCATTGCAAACATTTTTGCTACTTATCACCAAGAATAACTCTTTTAAATGACTTATTCAGCACTCCAAAGTGACTGAAATGGTGCAGTGAGAGAAATATTGAGAGCAATCATAATAATTAAGAGTTACCAATTGTTGCCCAGCCGGTGTGGCTCAATGGGTAAGCATTGACCCATGCACCAAGAGATTACCGGTTCCCAGTCAGGGCACATGACCAGAGTTGCAGGATCAATCCCCGGTAGGGGGCATGCAGGAGGCAGCCCGATCAATGATTCCCTCTCCCTCTCCCTTCCTCTCTGAAATCAATAAAAATATACTTAAAAAAAAAGAGTTGCTAATTTTTAAGCACAGATTATGTATGAGGAACTAGGTCATGTGTTCTGCATGCATCATCTATTTGGTCCTTACTATAATCTATGAAGAGACACTCATAATTTTCCCATTTTACAGATGAGGAAACTAAGACACAGAGTGGAAGTGAGTGGGGCACAGACTTGGGTGCCATGCTCAGGACTTTGGACCTTGAAAGTGTTATGCAGGGAAGTGTCTGGTTTTGAGAAGATAATTCCTTTGACTATGGGTAAGTTGGGCTGAAGGTGAAGAACACAAATGGGTGAAAACTAGTTGGGAGACCATCATTCACTCTCCCCGCAGACACTCCAGCTCTGCAAAACAATAACGTGCTGAGGACTCACTGATCTTGTGTCTTTCAACTTACTGTCATCTTGTGGCAGTCCCATTCTTCCTTTTGCCTCTCTGGCAAATTCCTACTCCATCTTCTGGAGCTGGTTTAAGGAACAGTTCCTCTATGAATAATTAGGTAACACGCGATAGGCCTGTGTGAATGGCAGCATAGTGTGGAAGCAAGAGCAGGGAGTTGGTAGTCAGACTGATCTGTTCAGCCTCTAACAAACCATGGCCTTAATCTTTCTGAGGTGATCTTATCTCCATAATTTGAATAATATTACCTAACAGGCAAAGTGGGTGTGGAAATCTGGAAGATAGATACTGTGGTAGTTCATAAGTCTTTATAGTGTTTATTTAAGTAGTTTGTTAAAGCCTCTCCTGCTCCTCCACCCTCTGCCCTCCAAGGAAATTGAACTGTTTTTCTTAACAGTTGGATTCCTTCCTCCACCACACGAGGTTGAAATGACATTAGCTCCAGAGTGAAGGTCTGCAGTTTTCTCCTGCCTCAACTAGATTCTGCCTTCTTGCCCATTATGATAGGCTGAATAATGACCCCTCCTTCTGATATTTCTGTACTGTAATCCCTGGAAGCTGTGGAAATATTACCTTATATGGGGAAAAAAAGACTTCTCAGATGTGTTAAGGATCATGAAATAGGAATATCATCCTGGATTAATCACCAGGGTGCTTTTAAAAGGCAGGAAGCGTATGAGAAGTAGAGGGTCAAAGTGACAACAGAATTCGAGGTTGAAGTGATATAGTCTGAAGATGGAGGAAGGGGCCACAAACCGAGGACTGCAGGTCCCCTCTAGAAGCTGAGAAAGATGAGGAAATGGATTTTCCCCTAGAGCTTCCAAAAGGAATGCAACTCTGAGGACACTGAGTTTATCTCACAAAACCCAATCTGAACTTGTGACTTCTAGAACTGTAAGATAATAAATCTGTGTTGCTTAAGACATTGAGTTTGTGGTAATTAATTATAGTAGCAATAGGAAACTAACATATCAATCTTTCAACACCTTCCTCTCTCCACAAAGTATAGTAGTGTCTTCCTAAAGCATGAATGAAAATACAACCTTGCATCTCTCCAGGTTCCCATAGCTCTTTAACATATCATCATAATATTTTCAATGTGGTAAACTGAAAATAAGGTTTCACTGAACCTGAGAATACTAAGGGAAAATATCTATGCAAGACATTCGCATGCTCAGAGCAACACTCATGGTATACAAATGCAATGTAATAGGAACCAATTCTGTAGGTTCGCCAAATGCAGGATTCATTACAGGCAGTAATGTGGGTATGAGAACTGTTCTTAACATTTCATTTTTGTGAAATGTCAACATTATCAAAGGACCAATAAAGAGTTAAATATTTTAATATAATTCTCTGGAAAATATAGATATAATTAGTTTAGTAGAGGTTCTGGTTTTATTTTTATTAATTTCTAATACTGAGGTAGAGTATAAATCTTAAGGAGATAAAAGCAGAGTCTGATTTATTTAATTTTTTTTACAAAGCATCCCAGTAAGGCTTAAGTGCTATTAATATTTATTCACAAAACTAATTATAGTATTAATACTAAAATAAGTAGCTATTAAGTAATGCAATCATGTAAATATGCAAATATATCTCAGCCAACATATAGCACCAAACAAAACCAGTGTTTTTAAAACAAGCCTTTCTTCAAAATATATTTTTGCTTAAAATTTTGGAGATTTTCTCTTATATACAACTAGAGGTTCAGTGCACAAAATTCGTGCAGGGCGGGGGGAGGGTGTCCCCTCAGCCCAGACTGCACCCTCTCCAATCCGGGACCCCTCGGGCATCCCTCTCACAATCCTGGACTGCTGGCTCCTAATCGCTCACCTGCCTGCCTGCCTAGTCGCCCCTAACTGCCTCCCCCGCTCCGCCAGCCTGGTCACTCCTAACTGCCCCCCCACCAGCCTGGTCACCCCCAATTATCCTCCCTGCTGGCCTGGTCACCCCATGCAGCCTGCTGTTCAGTTGTTTGGTTGTCCCTCACTAACCCCGCCCCCCTGCCTGCCTGGTCGTAGGCAGCCATCTTGTGAGGGCTAATTTGCATATTACCTCTTTATTATATAGGATTATGATGCGTTGCTCTATTAAGAAATATCACAACTTGATTGATTTTATTTGTTTAGAATTTGAAGGATGATAAAACATAGATTTTCCATAGTTATATTGAAAATGAAAAAGCAAAGCAAAACATCATACAGTAAATGTGCAGATTTAGTCAGTTGGTGGTTTACTTTTCATAAGTTTCTTGATTATTTTCTTATAAATGGGAGCATGAGGGTCCAGGCAAATTTTCTTTCCATTCTTCAATGTGGCTCTGCCAGGGAAAAGAGAAGAGGTGAGCCCCTTGGTCTCTGGGTTTGAACACAGGTGGATCGGGGTGTAGCGGGGGGGCATAGGCAAAGGTGGAGGAGGCAGAGGGTGGGCACAAGCAAAGTGAGAGGACTCACATCATTTGGGAGGTGGGGCAGTGGAGTCCAGCCCGGATCACCTCCAAGCTGGTGATGTGCTTGGGATGGACTCGGGAGCTGGTCTTCACACACATGCATTGCAGGTCCCCATCTCCTTCTTCAGGGTCTGCTGGGGAAAACAGGAGTGGGGGGGAGGGGGACATGAGGGAGGGAGTGGTGACGCCTAGAATGCCTCCTTAGGGATCTTTCTCTCTGCGTTCAGCCTTCATTTCCCCACCCACAAACCATACCTCCCCAGTAAGAAGTAGTAGTGCCTAGATGTGAAACGCACGGGACAGCGCTTGGCCCAGTGCCCACACACACCTAACTTTGATCAGTAAAGCATGGAGAATATCGCTGTGTTTACAGACCTGGCCCAGCCCCGGGGTTCCCCTGCCTTTCTCCAGCCCTTCCCGGCCCTTCCCTCCTCGCTTCTGTTCTCACCGCTGACTTGGGCGACCACAGCCGGCAGGAGCAGCAGCCCCAGGAGCAGCAGCCCGGAGCTGGGCCGGGGGCGGGAGGCGCGGGCGCCCACTCTCAGGCTCATGTCGCGGAGGTGCCAAGAGGAGAGCAGAGAGTACCAGGGCAATCCGGGCCGGCGCTCTGCAGACCAATGGTTCCCAGAGTCTCCAGCCCCGTTTTATCCCCACTGCCTCTCCAGTCCGGAAGCCTGGGGTGGAGGGTGAGGAGCTTTGGTGCAGAAGCCAGAAGAGTTGGGCTCTGGCCAGCCAAGATTGGGGGAGGGGGACAGGCGGGGAGCAGGGAGAAGAAGAAGAAGTAAAAAAAGCCCAGGTCAGCTGTCTCTCAGCTGCAAGCTGAAGCAGGATCCACACCCCAAACCGGTTTCATATGCATGCACATTTGTGGAATTAGAAACAGTGCTTGAACCTTATACAATACATGTTCTTTGTTATGTGTAACAGTGGGGTTCCCTGCAGTCACCAGGTTGCAATGTATGCAGCATGTACCCTCCGGACTGAGGGAGTTTCTCTCCCCTCCCAACGTCCAGCTGCCTTATCAAGAACTGCTCTTCGCTCCTGCCTTTCTTGTTGATTACCACTAAGTTGAGTTGAGTGTGTTCAAGGTGTGTAGTCTGTCATTGTTTTCTGCTACTCAAAGGTTGAATTCGGTCTCAGGCCTGAATGTCACCTGAGACCCACCAGCTCTACCAACCCATCATCCAATTTACTCTAGGAAGCAAGGCCTACATCCTAATCGATCCTCTTACTCTGAGAAAAATTGTGAAAGTAATATCTGAATGCGCGCTTTCTGTAAAACATGGTGCGTGCGTGTTTCTCCATTCTGCTCAGCCAAGAAGAGAGGTCAAGGAGAATTTCCAGGCCACATCTCCCAGTGCCTGCTGTGACCCGGATGTCAGGGTGAGATGGGCTGTGCTGTTGGAAGGATCAGCGATGCTCTCGGGACACTGAGCATCTGGGGGTTGTGTGGGAAGACACGGAGGACAGGATGGAGGGCATGCACTAGCATCCTGCATAGGAAAGGTCGGGAGATTAACAGAGACCATCTTCCCTTCCCTGAAAAAGGATGCCTTTGGCTTTTGATCAGAGCAAAGTCCCCCCTCACCACACAGGAGGAGGCTCTCTGTCACACTGATTCACAGTGTGCAGGGCATCGGGAGCCACGGCATGGAGCTAGCTGACGGCTTCATGCTCAGCAGGACCGGACTTCTGCAGGGATATGCAATTTAATTCCTGGGCCTACAATGTCCTTTCTCTTACTCCCCACCATCTGCTCTTTCAGCTGGCTAAGTCCTATTCATATTTCTGTGTCAGCTTAAATAGCACTTCCTCAGAGGGCCTTCCCTGACAGCTGTGGTTGATTGTGTTCCCTGTGGTTGTATCTTGCAGCACCCTCTGTTTTTCCTATTTCTCAGAGATCATACAAACACGCACACATGTTATACAGAGATATGCATGTGCCTGTGTGTTTAAAATGATTTCTTTTCCTAAATGAGAAGCTCTATGAGAGATCATAATGTTTGTCACTCTCACACTACAGGGGCTCAGTATAAAATTACCACATTTAGTAAAGATAATAAACGTTGAAACTAGTGACATTGAGGCTTTGACTTGATCATGTATCTGTTTCTTCATGTAACAGGGGCATACCTCTTCATTAGTAAGAGCCTCATGTGGTTGTGATTATTTGTCAACTTGTCTGCCTCTCCCACCAGACAGTGATCTCTTCAAGGGGAATTCTCTGCGAATTACACGTTTTTTAATATCCTGCATCCAACACAATGGCAGACACAGACTGTTTATGGGTCTGAAACTTGAAATCCCAAGTCGGGTTAGTGGCAAAGGAAATGAATAGGAGAGGTGGTTTTGGAGATGGATGGCAACATGATGAATTTATACAAACTTGCCCCTCAGATTTCAACAATAAAGACTTTTAAAAAGAAAAAAAAAGATTTCAATATTTGAAGTGTAAAGAAATCCAGAGAGTAGTAAGTGACAATTAAACCAGTCCTTCTGCATCTAACTAGAATAATTCTATATGTGTACCCAAAAAAATAAAAGACACCTACATCTCAGGAGTTATTAGCATAGTATAAAAACTGTGGCATGTCTCAGGAGCTGGTCCTGTTGGTGTTCACTAGGAAATGATTCCAAAATTAATGAGATGCTGAGCTATTTTGAATTATAAACAAAAAAAACCTGACAATGACTACTATCCTCATTTACTTCTTTATTACATGTTTATTTTGGTATATTTTGGCTTAACTATTAAATGCATTTATTTTATACACAAACCATTTTAAGGCATTGAACTTACAATGGTGAGGAGAGTATAAGAGGAAACCTAAATAATGCCAAATTTGTAAACTAAATGCTTAATACATGAATGTTCCCAAAATTCCATGTACAACTTGGGGAAGGTGATCTTACTTATTCTACTATACTTATTGTAGTATATGCAGCATGCTATTTATGTATCAAGTCCTATTTTGTGTGCCAATAACTCTGTGATATATAATGTAACCTCTTCATTAGAAAGAGAAGAATCAAGGAAAGTGGTGTGGTATGGTGGTTAAGAGTATATTTTCAAATCCTCACTCTGTCACCTACTTAGTTATCTGATCTTGTGGCAAATTTCCTAATCTCTTTGAACTTCACTTTTCTTCTCTGAAATACTGGGGATGCTAATGGTAATAATAACAAATAGTCACTAACATTTACATATGGGTTATTGTGTGACATGCTTTATTTTCACTCTTTGAATTTATTTACTCTTTTAATTTTTACATCAACTCTTTGAAATAAGCAAATATTATATCCCATTTTAGAGATGAAGAAAATTAGGAACAGAGAAGTTAGGCAACTTGCCCAACGTTAAACAGCTAGCAAGTGGTAAAGCTGAGTTACCCAGTTATTCTCTCTCTAGAGGATATGCTTTTAATTAGGTTGTTTATATCTTGTAAGAATTATTTATTTCATGCCTGTAAAACACTGAATAGATCTGCTGAGCACAGTACCACATTTAGCCAAGAGTTAGGGAGTAAACTATATGTTATATTTTGAAACTAGGCTTGTTTACTTTTATCTTCTCTCTGTCATCTATTTATTAACCAGCCTTCTCAGAATAAAATGCGACTTCTTAAGACAGAATGGAAAACATCAAATTTATTACAGCATGAATAGGTATCCTGAATAAAGAAAAACTGCAGAAAGGTAAGGCTACAGATCCCTACGCCTCTTGGGAGATAAAAAGATTTGACAGAAAGTGAACAGATTAAGCAGCTGACTCATCACCTTCTAAAATCTTCTGGACTATCTTCTTGATCATGGGAGCATTTGGATCCAGGCAGATTTCCTTCCCATTCTTCAGCGTGGCTCTGCAAGAGAATATATAATTTTGTGTGTGTCCTGTCCTATCAGAGGGATTGCTGGGGCTGAACAAAATAGCAGTGATGAGGATTGAGGCAGAGGGCTTCCCTAATAAGTTAATAATACAAAAGCATGGACTTACATCACTTCGACATTGGAGCAATGGGGTCCTGCCTTGAACAACTTCAAATTTTGGAAGTTTCTGGGATGAATGCCAGAGGTGGTCGTTATACACGTGCAGCGAAGTTCAGCATAGTGTTCATTTCCCAAACTTGCAGCTGGGATAGAAACTGAGAAGTGGTCATGAGCACCTTTAATATCTATCAACTTGATTCCTCAGTCCCCTTCTTTGTGAATTGTAGCTGGCTCACAGCTCACGAGGCCACTGTGAATATGATCTGAAACCTCTAGTAAAGAACCAGAGCTGAATGCCAGGCATATGGTAGGTACTCATTAAGCTTAGCTCCTCCATTTAGAGTTGTTAGTATAATGGCCTACCCCAGCCTCAGGAGCTGGTCCTGTTGGAGTTCACTAGGAAATGACTCCAAAATTAATGAGATGCTGAGCTATTTTGAATTATAAGCAAAAAACTGACAATGACTACTGTCCTCATTTACTTCTTTATTACATGTTTATTTTGGTATATTTTGGCTTAACTATTAAATGCATTTATTTTATACACAAACCATTTTAAGGCATTGAACTTACAATGGTGAGGAGAGTATAAGAGGAAACCTAAATAATGCCAAATTTGTAAACTAAATGCTTAATACATGAATGTTCCCAAAATTCCATGTACAACTTGGGGAAGGTGATCTTACTTATTCTACTATACTTATTGTAGTATATGCAGCATGCTATTTATGTATCAAGTCCTATTTTGTGTGCCAATAACTCTGTGATATATAATGTAACCTCTTCATTAGAAAGAGAAGAATCAAGGAAAGTGGTGTGGTATGGTGGTTAAGAGTATATTTTCAAATCCTCACTCTGTCACCTACTTAGTTATCTGATCTTGTGGCAAATTTCCTAATCTCTTTGAACTTCACTTTTCTTCTCTGAAATACTGGGGATGCTAATGGTAATAATAACAAATAGTCACTAACATTTACATATGGGTTATTGTGTGACATGCTTTATTTTCATTCTTTGAATTTATTCACTCTTTTAATTTTCACATCAACTCTATGAAATAAGCAAATATTACTATCTCATTTTAGAGGTGAAGAAAATTAGGAACAGAGAAGTTAAGCAACTTATCCAAAGTTAAACAGCTAGCAAGTGGTAAAGCTGAGTTACCCAATTATTCTTTCTCTAGAGGACATGCTTTCCATTAGGTCATTTATATCTTGTAAGAATTATTTATTTCATGCCTGTAAAACACTGAATAGATCTGCATATTAAGAGTTATTCATAGAGTTTAGCTATCATTCTAATACATTAAAAATAGAACAAATTACCAACTAGTGACTTGGCTGGTAAAAAAAAATAAAAAGATAATTAAGGTTTCCCCTCACCAATTCTGTTTAAATTAATAATATATGACAACAAGGTAATAACAAATTTTGATTTTATGCTAATAGTACTGTAAGACTAGTGTGGTTATAAATTTAAGGAATTAAGAAATGAATTAAAGTTCTGTTGATTATAAAATAATTTCCAGTCTGGCAAAATTTTAATTATTGTACTTATTTGCAAGATTGACATTAATACTAAAATTATAACTGTGCAAATATTAACTAAATGTGAATATGTGCAAACATGCCAAAGTAAAATATTTAATACCAAGTAGAATCTGTGTTATTATTTTTATTAATACTGGAGGTTTTAGTAGAGCTTGTTAATGCTTTTTAGCATATTATTTTTGCTTACTAGTATTAAATATATTCACTTGAAAATAAATAATCACTGTCTACAAGACTTACATTTTACAACTTTTTAAATTTTAAGGTTTGAAAGCTAAAATAAACTTTAGAAAACTCAGAGAATTCTCTTCAACAAGATATCCTAGGACTAAGGCAATGAAAAACTATTAAATCCCTACATATATTAGCAAACATTCATTGAGCAAGTGCTCTCTGCTGGGATCTGTGTGATTCCTAATATCATTGGCCACTATGGAATCTATTAATCACCATGGGCATATCTAGTCTAACAGCAAAATAGCGCAAGATAAGTTAACACAAATGTATTTGGAAAGAAAATTTTAAATAAAGAAATGCAAAGCACAGTACCACATTTAGCCAAGAGTTAGGGAGTAAACTATATATTATATTTTGAAACTAAGCTTGCTTACTTTTATCTTCTCTCTCTGTCATCTATTTATTAACCAGCCTTCTCAGAATAAAATGCGACTTTTTAAGACAGAATGGAAAACATCCAAATTTAATACAGCATGAATAGGTATCCTGGATAAAGAAAAACTGCAGAAAGGTAAGGCTACAGATCCCTACGCCTCTTGGGAGATAAAAAGATTTGACAGAAAGTGAACAGATTAAGCAGCTGACTCATCACCTTCTAAAATCTTCTGGACTATCTTCTTGATCACGGGAGCATTTGGATCCAGGCAGATTTCCTTCCCATTCTTCAGCGTGGCTCTGCAAGAGAATATATAATTTTGTGTGTGTCCTGTCCTATCAGAGGGATTGCTGGGGCTGAACAAAATAGCAGTGATGAGGATTGAGGCAGAGGGCTTCCCTAATGAGTTAATAATACAAAAGCATGGACTTACATCACTTCGACATTGGAGCAATGGGGTCCTGCCTTGAACAACTTCAAATTTTGGAAGTTTCTGGGATGAATGCCAGAGGTGGTCGTTATACACATGCAGCGAAGTTCAGCATGGCGCTCACCTTCCACACTTTCAGCTCGGATAGAAACTGAGAAGTGGTCATAAGTACCTTTAATATCTATCAACTTGATTCCTCAGTCCCCTTCTTTGTGAATTGTAGCTGGCTCACAGCTCACGAGGCCACTGTGAATATGATCTGAAACCTCTAGTAAAGAACCAGAGCTGAATGCCAGGCATATGGTAGGTACTCATTAAGCTTAGCTCCTCCATTTAGAGTTGTTAGTATAATGGCTTTCCCCAGCCTCAGGAGCACCAGGACAGCTGACACCCCGCCCCCCCCCAAACACACACACACACACACACACACACACACACACACACACACACATACACACACACAGCAACAGCAGAAGCAGCCACAGAGGAGGGGAAGCGGGGACTTCACCTTCAGGTTCCTCTAATTTTCTCTTTCTTTCTCCAACGGTGGAGGGAACCATCACAGTCAGGAGCAGTGACAGCTGCAGCAACGCCTGTAAGACAGGAGCGGAGGTGGCCCTGGGTCTGAGGTTCATGGCAGAGAGAACAGACCTATGAACCTTGAGTTGTTCCCAGAACCTGGAGACCTCAGCGTGAGGTGGACTGTTCCCAAGGAGTCTGCGGCTCAGTGGCTCTTACGCTCTCCTGGTGTCTTTTATATACACTCCCCCATGGCCAGTAAGGACAGAAGGATGGGGACGGGGGAAATGAACGCATGTGGTAATATTTGTATAAGGGTAGTTATGCCCAACCCAGATAAACGCCAGGCAAGTTAAAGTTCCTGCTAAATTTCATTCTGCACATTACTTCACACTCCCTCTCCCGCTTTCTCAATACTGATCTCCCTTACACATATTTAACACTGCACTTAGGTAAGAACTAAACTGAAATATTACATATCTCTTCTTTGTGTAACTATGAAATATGCCCTGCCTTTCCTATAATGTAATTTATGTGAGGCCGAATAGAAATATGTGACTCTTTTCGAAGAGAATTATCTTCCCTTTCTAGTTGCCTGGGAAAGCAGGTGTTCCTCTCTTGGTTGTTGATAAACGCTGGGATTCCCTTGCAGTGTGTGTGGATGAAATGAACTGCTCACCACCAAAGCCTCACTTTGCATGTTAGTGTATGTGGGGGGTTTTTTCTGTCTTTGAAATGTATTACTTTTTTGTAATTTTATTCAGAAAGTAGAAGCAAACTTATCCTCCCTTGTGTTATAAAATAAACTACTTGTTTCTACTGTTTGAATATACCTTGAAAAGCAAGACCCAGCATTGTTATTTTTCCTTTCCCTTTTTTTTTTAAGAAATATATATTTATTGCTTTCAGAGAGGAAGGGAGAGGGAGAGAGAAATAGAAACAACCATGATGAGAGAGAATCATTGATTAGCTGCCTCTTGCATTCCCCACACTTGGGATCGAGCCCGCAACCCAGGCACGTGCCCTGACTGGGAATTGAAGGATGATCTCCTGGCTCATAGGTCAACTCTCAACCACTGAGCCACGCTGGCTGGGCTTCCTTTTTTTTTTAGTTTAACACAGAAATATATAATATAATTTATTTTAAAGGATTCATACACTGCAGATGTATGTGGAATAAAACATACAAGTTTCTCTTTATTATTATTCCACATTCCCACTCTGTGGTAACCATCAGTAATAATTTGGCTTTAGTGTTTTATTCTGTCTGCATTTATATATACACATGTACATATACACAGAGACACATAGAATACAGAGAGATACACATATATACATAGAGGTAGACATAGATGTTTTTATATAAATGGGATCATTATACAGCTTTTGTCCTTCAAAAACATGTCTCCAGCATCCTCTCATGCTACCACAATGTAGTTTTGCCCCATTCTTTTTAATGACTGCTTGAGATTCAATGGCACTGGCAATCATTGTCCAACCCATGTCTTATTGGAGACTTTAAGTGTGTTCCCAGTTTTACACTATACAAATTACAATAAGATCTTTATTCCTTAATTTTCAGACCCTAATTAAGGGTCTTGATCTCAAACTCCACTTGATATAGACAAAGCCCCACAGAGATACAGGGGTGGACCTACACACACAAGGGGGCTTGTATATGTTATTGTCTGGATCTCTGTCCCATCTATAAGATTTGCTTCCTCGAGTGGGGACTGTACACTTTTAAAGGCAGAGGCATGTCCAAGGTTTCTTTGAATGTCTCATGTATCCTATAGCATGTAGGATAATGCAATGCACAGGGGTTCTAAACAGTGGTAATGAATAAATCAGTGAATATGTATCACATGGAGGAAAGTTTCTCTTTGTTTTCTAATCAGCTACAATTCTCAAACCAAATTCCACATGGCCCAAAATACCCATGATTTTAAAAGATTTGGAAGGCAGGGCATAAAGGATAAGGCCCTGGCCACAAGTTATCTTCCTTTGACAACTATATTCACATCTTACACAATATTTAAACTTCTGATTTTCTTTTTGCTTAATTTTCATACTTCTAAAATTCTAGAAGAAGCTATCAAAATAGTAAATGTACAAAATTACTTTGTATCAAAAGAATGATTACAGTAATTAATTTTTCCAAGTTTAAAAAATGTTTTAAAACAACTTTTCCTATTGTTTATCAGTTATCAGCTATCCCTCCTTAATATTTTAGTTCCTGTTTTTCAATATATTCCTTATTTTTCCCCATCCCATTTGTTATCCTCTTATAACTTACAATCTAGCAGTAGAACATATTAAATTAAAATGATTTTCCTCCTCTCCCAAACCAGAAATTCATAGGTTAAGAAGCAAGCTTAAAGAAAAGCTTAAGCTGGAGATTATCCTAAGAGTTGAGATGTGGAGTGAATTGTGGAGAGAATCTCAACAGAAAACCGAGAAAGGAAAGCAAACTTCTTTGTAGGTCTTCCTGAGTGATGACTTTAGAGCAGGGGTGGGCAAACATTTTGACTCGAGGGCCACAATGGGTTCTTAAACTGGACCGGAGGGCCGGAACAAAAGCATGGATGGAGTGTTTGTGTGAACTAATATAAATTCAAAGTAAACACCATTACATAAAAGGGTACGGTCTTTTTTTTTTAGTTTTATTCATTTCAAAAGGGCCGGATCCTTGCCCACGGCTGCTCTAGAGTGATGCTTTCTTAATGCAAATAACTCACCTGCATTGGCTTTAAGGTCTTCAGGTGTGACCATGACAACAAATCGGATTGCACGTTTATCCGGCCCACGGGCCGTAGTTTGCCCACGGCTGCTTTAGAGCCTTTCACCATCATTAAGATTGATATATTGTTAATTTGCAAATCAGATGTTTTGTTTCAAACATAAGGTCAAAACCATTTTCAGAGCAAGATATAATTTTTAACATTATTCATAGCATCTTTCTTTTTCTGTTCATCACAGCCCTCCTGATGTACAATATTTATTGGCTTCACTGGACTCAAACACAATCCAAATTTCTTTCCTGTTTTATTGAGTAATATTACTCAGAAGTTCCTAATCATTTTGGAAGAAAGCCATGCAAAGTCTTTTGAACTAATGATGCTGTTTGAGTTAGTAGGTACCGGGAAGGAGGAATACGTGTAGCACAGGATCATCAACTCATTGTCTTAATCAACAATTGTATTTTGTCACAAAGGACACATTGTCAGCAAGATTCATGAGTGAGCATTAACAAATTTCTTGAGTCACTCAAATTTTACAAGCTTATTAGTCAGCATTTGAAGTAAATGATTTTTTTGCTAGCTTTCATTTATTTAATAAATTTTGATTATTTAATATGTTCCAGACATTACAAAATTCTTTTGTGTGACTTAATCATTTAACTATTTCTGTATAAAAAGTGAGACCCCAAATATTTGTGCAAAGTAGTGGGATATAGGTACTAATCTATCACTACTACCACTACTGCTAACAGCTCTCATTGTCTTCACATAATTTTCTTTGGTATCCTTGAATAGAAACACAGTACAGACACTGATGAACTGGCAGTACAGAAATGGATAACAAATTTTTAAAATCATTATTCAATCCAAAGAAATTATCTTTTAAAATTATAACTTAAATGAATGCTAGAAAATTAGTGTCAGAAGTTCTAGGGCTTAAAAAATAACTTGACAGCCTTTTTATGAATCTTACATTGTCACCCTGGTGGATTTTCTGGATTTTTTTTTTTTTGTGTGTGGTAAGTTACTTTATCTCTTTTCCTTTTAAGACATTGTATAAATAGCAGAGTCATCCAGGAAACTAGCACGTTTTGTAAAACTCAAGACATAATTTATCTGTTAGCTATTTTAGCAGAAAATATCCAGAGACATTGGAGGACCAATTTCCATAAAACTAAAACATATATTAACTCTGGATGACATAGAATATTTTAAACTGACACCTCCCAAGTATGAGGAAAATAAGCTATCTCCTGCAAATTAGTCATAAAAGCAATTGGTGCAAATGATCCCAGGGATAATAAAAACTTGGGTCAGTTGATTAAAACACTTTCATCAATAGATTGAAGTTCTAGTCAACAAAAGATTCCCTATAAGTGCTGAAATCAAATGTTGTTGTTTTTGTATAACTGAGTTGACAAGAATGGTCCAGGCCTCAATTAACGGGGACTCATTCAATTGTGCGATATACTGCATGGGGGTGAAGCATGGGAGGGAAGGGTGAGTAGAAAGGGTGAAGGAGTTGAGAGGGCATATCCTCTTTGATGCTATCCTATAAAATAAAAGGGTAATATGCAAATTGACCCTAATGGCGGAACAAACCAGAACGACTGCTCGACCAGTCACTATGAGGTGCACTGACCACCTCTCGGTCCCTTTCCCCGGCCGGCAGGCTCCCATTGCCTAATGGTGAATGGTGAACCGGGGGTGGGTGGCGGGGGACATGGCGGTGCTAGGTCAAGGCCCCTGCCCTGCCAGTGGTCCCACACACAGAGGGCAACCTGTGGTGGGGGCAGGGCCGATGAGCGGGCGGGAACAGCTGACCTCTTGGTCCTTCCCCCTGCCGGCAGGTTCCGATCACCCGATGGCAAACAGGGAGCTGGGGGTGGGTGGCGGTGGGGGGCAGGACTGGCTGCCAGCAGCAGGGGAAGATGGCCCTGATCACAGGCCAGGCCTAGGGACTGTACCCAAGCACAAATTTTGTGCACTGGACCTCTAGTTTACTATAAAGGATCACTTCAATGTTTTGCAGCCTGAGAATTTTTATTTTATGCTGATTAATATCACTTGTTGAACATTAGATATGTGATGCTCCTCTTTGGATCCTTTTTGCTGTATAACAAGCCAATCCCAAACATAGTGGCTTATAACAGTTTATTATTTCTGATAATTCGGTATGTTAATGAGAGGTCCTTCTGCTGTCATCCTGCCTGAGCTCACGTTGGTGGGTGTAGTCAGGGTGAAACTGAAATGACTGAAAAGTCCAAAATGACCTAATGTACATGGGAGGTGGTTGGTGCTGGCTGCTGGCTAGGATTTCTGCTGAGTCACATTGGTCCTCCTGCTCCTCCTCCTCTTGTAAGTAGCATTATTTTATTTCTCAGGAATAAATAAAGAATGAATGAGAGGAAGGAATGAAAAAGTGAGGGAAGGGGAGAGAAGGAAAGGGAGGGAGATGAAAGGAGAATAGGTAAGAAAAGAAAAAACAGAGAAGCCTGGCTGGTGTGGCTCAGTGGTTGAATATCGACCCATGAACCAAGAGATCACTGGTTTGATTCCCAGTCAGGGCACATTCCTGGGTTGCAGGCTCAATCCCCAGTACGGGGAGTGCAGGAGGCAGCCAATGGATGATGTTTCTCTCTCATAGATGTTTCTATCTCTCTATCCTTCTCCCTTGATAAAAACATATTTAAAAAAGAGAAAGAGAAGAGGGAGAGAGAGAGAGAGCGAGCGATAGAAAGACAGGAGTCCTTCCCTCTCCTTTCTTCTACTTCCTTTCTCTTGTCTTTTCTTCCCTCTCCTCCCCTTCCCTCTCTTCTTCTTCCTTCTCCTCCCTTGCCCCTGAAACCATGATTCACCATGACTTTCTTTAGCTGCTGGAATGATAGGCACAGAAAGCTAGAAACTGAGGCCCTCTCTGAGCATAATTTGTGGCCTAAAGGAACTGTCTCACCCAAAGCTGTGCCCACTCTCCAAGCTTAGCCCACATCTAATGGCTGGTCAATGGGAGGATACAGAAAAGCCTCCCTTGCCACAATTCAGAATAACTCTGAAAGGCCATCCTAGCTCCAGAGCTTCTCATAGAACCATCTGACTCTTTTGCCATAACAGCAACTTTTCCTCTGCCCAACGCTGCTTCTGTACTTCCTGAAAGGTGCAAAGTGAGTACTCTTAAATAAACTTCTTTCACACAAATCTCCTCTCAGAGTTTGATACTAGGAATGCCCATCTAAGACTCTCTTTCTCTTACAAATCAGTCTCTAAATTTAGCTTTCAAAAAAAAATCTTTGTAAATAAAAAACCTTTTGAGTATATTTGTTGCCAAAAAACCTTAACTTAGGCTGAAAGCATCTTATCTTTGTAATCTCTATATCATAAGGATCTTGCACAGGGTCTAGTATGTAATAGGCTTATCAATAAACTAGTGGCCTGGTGCACGGATTTGTGCACATTGAAAGGAAATTAATTAGAAGAAAGATTTCTGCAGTAATTACATTATTGCAAAAAATTACATGTCAAAATAGTATATATAATACTAGAGGCCAGGTGCATGAAATTTGTGCACGGGGAGGGGGTGGTGTCCCTCAGCCCAGCCTGCACCCTCTCCAATCCAGGACATTTCTCTCTCAATCTGGGACCACTGGCTTCTCACCACTTGCCTGCCTGACTGCCTGACCACCCCTAACCACCTCTGCCTGCCGGCCTGATCACCCCCTAACTGCTCCCCTGCTGGCCTGATTGCCCCTAACTGCTTGCTCCCCTGCTGACCTGATCAACCCTAACCACCTCTGCCTCAGCCCCCATCACCGTGGCTTTGTCTGGAAGGATGTCCAGAAGATGTCCAGTCTAATTAGCATATTACCCTTTTATTAGTATAGATAGTATTATAAAATTAAAATACAAAATATTTTAATATTGCTATTCACCTTCTCTATCATAAAAGTGTCAGAGATAAAAGAAAATTAGTCAAATGTATATGAAAATAAGATATAAATTGATTAATAAATAAGCAATAACAACATGATATTCTGTCGACAACATCACTTTCTTTCGGCTTCAGAGATATATTGTGCCAAAGGTTGGTCTTCAAATACATTCACATGCAATTGGCACCAGCAAGAGCTTTATATGTATTGTGCACATGCAAGTCAACGTTTATTTTGAAATTGCCAATGCACATCATATGTACCAGCCGGTCGATCAGTCGGACGTTTGGACGGGCGAACGGTTGGTCACTTAGCCTTTTATATATATAGATTACATCAGCCTGGCTGGTGTTGCTCAGTGGTTGAATGTTGATCTGTGAACCAGGAGGTCTCAGTTCGATTCCCAGTCAGGGCACATGCCCGGGTTGCTGAGTTGATCTCCAGTGGGATTTTCTCTCATCATTGATGTTTCTATCTCTTCCTCCCTCTCCCTTCCTCTCTGAAATCAACCAAATTTATTTTTTAAATAAATGATATAAAATATCTTGATATTTGATGGATGGATGTTTATACGAAAGAAAATACATCATACATTTTAATAATGTTACCACAATTGATAAAAATATGTAGATTATGAATGCATTGATTCCAGAAGGTTCCTAAAAAGGAATGGTAGAAAAAATTCTTAGAAGCACTAAAAATTAATCATTTATGCATAGGTGAAAAGACTATGGATAAATCTGGAAAAAAATAAACTATTGAGTTCTCAGTCTTTTCATTTGTCAAGGGGAGTTTGAATTATGAGACTTGAGAAAGGAATTAATATTTATTAAGCATCTCCTTTGTGCCTGAGAGACAGATATAATTGTCCTGATTTTATAGATGAGAAAACTGAGGTGTGAGGATGTCAAATAAATTGCCAAAGTTGCATCACTGAAAATACTCAAAACTATATTTGAAACACAATTGCTCTTTGTACTGCACCACAAAATATAAAGAAATATCACTGGCCTCTCTTGCTGAAAATGAATCAACTACTTCTCTTTTGATCCAACTGTAGAGGTGGGTCAAAAACAATCATCATGTAACCAAAACCCAGGTTCAGCTGTCAGCTGCCACGAAGGTCAAACTCAAGAGTCAGGTGCTGGTGAGAAAAGGAAAGAGGTTTATTTTAGTGCCCGCATATCCAGAAGATGGGGAACTCTTGTCCAAAGCCCATCTCCACTTTTCAGTTTAGGCAGAGGTTTTTATATGGAGGGAAAGGTAAAGCAAAACACAAAGGTCAAAGGGAAGGGTTGAAGAGTTCATGTGAAAGCTAGCATAGCTCATTCTGAAAAAGACCTTGAAACTGGTCAAGTGATGGTCTGATGTGCATCCTCCTGGTCTTCATCATCCTGGTTCCAAGTCATCCTGGTTCTCTGGTTGAAGGTCAGCAAATCCCCCAAAACTGGGAATGACTGAAGGTTTGTGTCTACATTTTCTGAAGTTAGTTCCTAGGATTCTTATACAAACATGTGGTTTATCTACAAGCTACTTATTAGTCAGTCAGCATTTATAGAAGCAATGTCAAAAGAATGGTGGAGTGGGTTACAATTCCCCACTGTGACCATCATACACACTTATGTGGCAGTGGAAACACATCCATTAAGAACATAGATTTTGAAGTATGAACAATCCTTCTGAGGAATAGAATATTACTTTTGCTGACTAAAAGTCACCCATGACCATCAGCCAAAATCAGCATCATGTTTTCCGTGATTTAGTCAGGGAGGCAAATTGAAATCCCCAGGTGCTCCTTCTGTCTGGTAAATTTCTCAATTGTAACATCCAGGAAGGACTTTTCAAGTTATGTACAATATGATTTACCCACAGCAATTCTTTTCCTTATACAAGAATTAAAACTATCATAGAAAAACAAAGCCACCAGTCATATTTATCATAGGTCTTGTCATACCTTCAGTAATTGAAGGATAATGTAAATGGGTCACACCCAGAGGCAAGCAGGAAAATCTGGTAGAATGAAAGGCATTAATTACACATTGAAATTGTCTAGATTGGAGCAGTAACATAGAGTAGATTTTAGTTGACACTCAATTCCCAGTGACTTAATATACTAGGGAGTGTTTTATGTGGATAACAGAGTGAAAATTGTATTTTGTATAAGGAAAATATTAAGGCATATTCCTAGATGTCAAACATTAGATTAATTTTTTCCCAGATACATTAGTCCTTGAGTTTTTTAGTGATAGGATAAAAAATTGGTATTAACTGTCCTTAAGGTTTTTGTATAGGTTACACTTCAGTAATATATTGTAACTTATTTTCTTATTTTTAAAATATATTTTTATTGATTTCAGGAGGAAGGGAAAGGGAGAGAGAGTTAGAAACATCAATGATGAGAGAGAATCATGGATTGTCTGCCTCCTGTATGCCTCACACTGGGGATTGAGCCCACAATCCAGGCATGTGCCCAGCCAGGAATTGAACCCTTACCCTCCTGATTCATAGATCTCATAGATTGAGGCTCAACCACTGAGCACACCAGCAAGGCTGTAATTTGTTTTCTTTATGGAATGACCAATTATAGCATGAGCATGACAAATAGAATTACAAGGATATTACAAATAGGTTTTATTATCTTATATAATAAAAGCCTAATATGCAAATTGACCCCTTGACCAGGAGTTTGACTGCTTTTTGTGATGTATGCTGACCACCAGGGGGCAGCATGGAACATAGTGGGCATCGGTAACAACGGCGCTGGCAGCGGGAGCAGTGGAGGCACTGACGGCCTTGATGGGCCCCACCAGTGGGACTGCGGCAGGATGGTGCAGCAGGTGAGTGGGTGGCGCCAGACCAAGGTGGGTGCAAGCACGGCCCGATTGCCCCACAGATGGCAACTAGTCGCAGGGGCCTGGTGACTCAGGCAGAGGGGGGCACATGGGGACCCCAGGAACCCAGGTGCTGCCCAGGGCCCAAAGGTCAGCTGGGACCTGCCCTTCCATACCAGATGCTCAGCCAGGCCTAGGGACCTCACCCATGCCCAAATTTCATGCACCGGGCCACTAGTATGGTTTATAAACAAACTAAACTTATAAATCTTACTTTTAGGAAAAATAAGGACCTTGAATAATAATAAAGAAAAGTAAACCAGTGATGTTTATAAATTTGCAAAATACATATTTCACCCACCTTAACCAAAGGAAGTTTAATATGCTTTCATTATGAACAGGCACTTATTTGATGAGTATGTTGGGGCTGATATGCAAAATCAGGCATTGTTTAAAACATTGAAATTTATAGTTTAAATATTTATGGTAATTTGGTTTGTTTGTTTTTGGTGTTTCTCCATGATAGTGTATAATTCATAGTTTCAAATGAAAAAAAGGTACTATTTAAGATAGCAAAGAGAGACCTTAGAAGTTTAATATATATATTTAAAATTTGAGGTATTTTATGCTTTGTATATTGCTGAAAAAGTTGTCAGTAAACTCATCTCTTTGAATTCACTTTAGGTTTTTTCATATCTTTGTATCTATCTCTTTCTTTCTGTGTATTTTATATATACATATATATGCTAATAAATAAAAGAAAATATATTAATCTAATTGAAATTTTATGTATAAGGAGATAAAAAGCTGTAGAATAACATGTTACATATAGTTTAATATGCTAGTGACATATTAGCATATAATAATATATACAAATACATGCCAATATAAGCATATCTATAATAATAAAAGCATAATATGCAAATCAGCTGAACAGCTGAATAGAGGAACAACCATCCAGACGACCATGCTATGACACCCACTGGTGCCAGGCCTGCCAAGGTGGGTGCGATGCAATTGATCAGGGGCCCGGCCATCGCCCCATGATCACCCCACAGAGGAAGGCCCAGGCCACCTACCAGCAGGGCGATCAATCAGAGGGCTCCACAATTGCCCCAAAGAGGGAGGCCCATGGCAGCACTGTGGTGGGTGGGTGGGGCCTCCCTCTGTGGGGGCAATCCATTGCAGAGCCCCAGCTGAGTGGGCAGGGCCTACCTCTTTGGGGCAATTGATGGTGGGGCTCCCAGACTGCGAGAGGGCACCTCCTCTGTGGGGGCAATCCATTGCAGAACCCCAGCTGAGTGGGCAGGGCCTACCTCTTTGGGGAAATTGATGGTGGGGCTCCCAGACTGCGAGAGGGCACCAGCCAGGCTGAGGGACCCCCCACCCCAGTGCATGAATTTCGTGCACCAGGCCTCTAGTATACTATATTAATTTAATTGGGGGGGGGGTGGATATCGCCATACTAATTGGATTAGTCCTTTTTTTGTTGTTTTTGTGATTTTCCTGAGAATGAGCTATTTACATAAAATTGCTATTTTAATACTAGAAAGACAGTGGGACTTATTAGTACATCTGTTTGAGCACCTACTATGAGCTAGCCACTGCCCTAGGAACTGAGATAAACATGATAAAAATTGTCTGTGACCTGATGGAGCATATAGTGAAGTTGGAATAGACACTAAATGAATAACCACATATATATAGTCTCCTTAGACTCTATAGTCATGTTGGTGACAGAATGTTATAAAGGAAAAGAACAAAGTTTTATGAGAGAATATAAAAAGAGCATTAATGTGGTGAAGGAAAGGGTCAGAGAAGCCCTAAATGACAGGTGAACTGCCCTCAAACGAAGGGATGGACTTAGCCAGGTGAAAGGGAGAGGTAGGTACTATATGTTGAGGGGCTGCATGTGTCAAGGTCTTGTTGGATTGCTTATAGACTAGAAGGAGAAAAGAGGGTAAAGGAATTAAATTTATTTAACATTTAGCATGATCCAGGTTATTGATTTTAGGACAGTGGCAACCCGAGGTTCTGGATAATTTATTAATTCATTAAACCAATCTGTGTCAGGTATGGGAGATGCAGAGGGAAATGAAATATGGTTGATGTTCCAGGAGAGCCCTTAGTAGAGTAGGGTAAGGAAACTTCTAAACAAGGGAAAACAATGCAATATTCACTATTGAAATAAATTCAAATATCTAGAAGATGCTATGGAAACATCAAAATAGAAACCACGAATTCTGCTGGGAGTGTCAAGGAAAACTTTGTGGAGGTATTGCTTGAGCTGAGTGCAGAAGGATGGGTAAGCTTCCTCCTAGAGGCAGAAGATGGAAGCTGCTTCTAGTTGGAGCCCTAGCAAATGCAAATGCACGGATCCAGGCAAAAACTAAACACTTGACTGCAAAGATGGGAAGGAAAAGTGAAGCTGAAGGAATAACTAGGAATTGGATGAGACTGAACATAATTTGCCATCCTTCTAAACTTCTCTTTCATGCCTAGGAAATAGGAAGCCAGTTGAGGATTTAAGGTAGGGAAACTTGTGTTTTCTAAAGAACCAACAGGCTATGGTACTATGAAGGGGTAACTGGAAAGGCTGAACAAATGCAATGGCATTGGGAAATAAGGGTTCTTTCTGATAGCCAGAGAGCAGCGTAATTTTCAAAATAAGGTAGAATTACAGAAAAACACAATTTTTTAAAACAGTATAAGAAAGAAGAAACAACATGAGTAAAGTTTTTAAATCTTTTATTTTTTTCCAAAGAATAAAAAGGTTCTATAAACCAATGAGACACACAGTTAAAAAGTACAATTTTAACATAGTAAATGTGATGCATCTATAATTCTTTATAACAAAATTGTCAAACCCTTAAAAGATACAACATAAGCATTACAAATCTTAGCAGTGCTGTGTATTTTTTGAAAACTAAATGATGCATTTATATTCAAATAGCTCAGATATATTTTCAAAAATTTCAGAGTACAGACTATTAAGTTTGCCTTATTCTTAAAAATACTAAAACAATGTATTTATAAAGAAACTAGCAATAAGGAATTTACCGATTTCCTAGTTTCTTCATCCGAAGCAAATATTTAGTGATTAAAATTATAGTACTCATAATAAAATAGTTAATAAATACAATATAAAAGTCAAAGCTTAATGAGTAAGTCATGACATTATGCCATACTAAGAAGACATCAAATGTCTAAAGTTATAGGAAAATAATATATTACTCCTTATAGAATTTAAAAATTTAGAAATTCTAAATAAGGAAATATATTCTACACTGATAGCTGTATGATGTGCCCAGCTTTCTAATGCAATATAATTGAAATAGGATCCCAGGATAAAGAGTAAGGAAATTCTCTCATTTCAAAAAATGATACTACATAGTTACAATTTCACGAGAAGACTGGGGATTACAGATTATCTTCATATATAGCATTCTAAAGAAAGATCATTCACCTATTAAATCTACAGCCTTTTCAATAATGTTCTAAGGAACATGTTCTAGAAATAAACCAGTCACCTTGAAAGAGTAACAACCAGTGATTCTGGATTCACTATTTAGTCAATTGACAAATATTTCAATGGCATAGGAAATAAAATAGCAGCAAATAAATAGCAGTAAATACTATGTAAAATACTTCATAAGATGAGCAGAAAGCTGCAAGGATAAACATAGGTCCCTTGTCCCATCCATCTCTCAAAGTGGGAAATTCATGAGGGAACCTGACTCACTGGAGAAAATTAGCCCTTGCTTTTTGGCTTCGGTGGATCCAGAGATCCCCAGAAAACTGTTCCGCTGAAGAACCAGGCAGTTTTTCCAAAGCACGATCCTTCCTCTTAATTTTTCTGCTTTCCACTGTCGAGGAAAAAAAAATAAGTATCAATTTAACCAAATTTCCACACTCCTGTGTACTCCAACAAGTTTTCAAAACGCAGAGTTTAAGATCAATAAAGAGCAAAAGGTGGGACTCAAGGACTAAGCTAACAAAATATATACATCATAGTCAAGCGTTCTGGGCGACCACCTGGGCGATTACATGGAAGACTGGTGATAAAGATTTTCCCTGGACGTTCTGGAACAACTTTCCCTTTTCTCCTGAACAACCTTTTAAAGAATGGTCTGGGATGTGGTAGCCAAGCCTATGCATATAGAATAAGGACCTTGAAAAGGCTACACTCTGAGAGAAGATTAAAAACCACGAAGATCAAAGCCACAGGTACCTGTTCAACAACTTCTGGATGATTTTCTTGACCACGTGGGCTTCTGGGTCCAGACAGACTTTGTTCCCCTTCTTCATGGTGGCTCTGCAGGAAAAAAAAAAAGGAGGGGCGGGGGGAAAGGATGCGTCCATGAGCCACAGGAGCTGAAGACCCAGGCCAAGGTCACAGTGGACACCTGGGACACCGCAGTGCAGTAGGACTTACATAATTTCCACATTGGGGCACCCTGGGCCTGCGGGGACCATCTCCAGGTGACGGATCATTTGGGGACGAATCCTGTGCGTGGGAGTTAAACACACACAGCGCAGCTCGCTCACTATGGCCCCGGAGGGACCAGCTGGGGATGAAAGAGAGACACCGTTATGAGAAAGGTTGCAGGAAAAACAACTCCCGCCAGCGTGGCCCGGGACACTTTCCCGCGCTCCCCCTGCTGAAGCTGCTGCTGCAGAGGCTGGGGCGCCTCGCTCTAACCGGCGCGTCCCTGGCTGCGAGCACTCACCGCTGGCCAGGGGCCCTGGCAGCGTCAGCAGCATCAGCAGCGTGAGCAGCGCGCACAGCGATCCAGACGGGCCGAGGAGGCTGGCGGCGCGGCGTGGCAGGAGATTCATTGTGGCGCGGAGGCAGCGGCGAGAGGCGCGGATTCTGGAAGGAGGAGATGCTGGGATTTGAAACTCCAGCGCACTGTGGCGTCCCCAAGCCCAGCGCATCCCTTATATTGGCATTCGCCCCTTCCTCCAGGCAGGAAACTCAAGCTTTCGGATGCTTGGGGAAATTCCCTGGGCTCAGGGGGCGGGGGTAGGAGGTTTGGGGGAGGAAATGTGCAGTGAGAGTTGGGCAGGAGGGTAACTGGGAGGAGTTGCTTGCACCCCATGCGTGGAGCATGTGGTAACTTGGCCCCGCGTGGATGGAGCTGCAGGAGAGGGGCAATCCAGCGGAGATTTCATCTTTGGGGCCAGCCAGGGCTGGTGAAGACCAGCTTCTGGGGAGCAGAGCCCCCTAGGAGGTGCACCTAATTCCCAACTATAGAGGAGGACTGGAACCAAAGTAGCAGGAGGTTTGACTTTAGAAAAAAATTATCATCATCCTTAACTCTAATGTATTATCAAGAAATGTAAGCCGTGATCAGAACTGCGCGACACTGAAAGCCCTACCTCTCCTCCTTGCAGGCGGACCATTCTAGGTTTCTCAAATTAGTTTATTTTCTTTGGACTTCAGCCAGCTTTAGAAAGCAAGATAATATGGTGAAAGTGTCTGTACTTCCACTTTTACTCAGTGGCAGGAATAGGCTGGCAAATCAAGTCTGCTTACTGGAAATCTTATACTTGTAGTTTATAGCAAGCATATTGCCCTGCCAGATGATACCTTGCTTTCTGCAGTTCAGTCAGTACACTGTTGAATTGGAAGAGGTATGTTCTTCATCCAGGGTAGGGTGAGGTGCCTGCAGGTGACAGCAAGGCCAGGGAGACCCAGCCTGCTACAGCTATGGCTCCTCAGCCAGGTGTGTACATTGACCCAGGAGCTGAAGACCCAGGCCATTGACCCAGTTTGGAGAAGCTGTGGGAGGCTGCTGGGTTTGAGGGGATCATCATGAAGTTTGGTCTAGAGATTTGAATCAATTTGGCAGCAAGACAGCACCCACTCTGGCTTCGCTCAAACAAGTTCATGTAAGGGAAGGGTGACTCAGACACACAAACTTCTGGAACCATCTGACTTAATGATCAGTAGGGTGACCATGGCCATTTCAGCAGGCCTGCTCTGGTCTGGAGTGGGTCCCTAAATTTGAGGGGTAAACTAACATGCAGATTTCTCTGCCTCGCCTTACTGTCTCTGTTATCTGTGGAAGTAGATAGAACACTGGAGGTTTAAAGGCCAAGTCTTTTACAGTTCTAAGTCCATGGCATGCATAGCTATGATATTAGACCAGCACGCTGGCTTTCTTTCATGAAAGTCTTACTAGATATGCTCTCTTGGATTGTTCCCAAGACCCTTGTCCTCATAGTAGTTCAGCAAAGGCAACCAGTGAATATAATGGCAATCGGAAACCAGTCATGGAACAAAATTCTTTTCCTTGTCCCTGGTGACCCTGGGGAATTGTATTAAACTCTTCTACTCATCTTCCTTGGCAGGACACCACCTTCATTGCTGGTCAAGGAGGAGGTGTCATAGATCTTTAGAGCATTAAGTCTGGAAGGAAACTTATGAAATTCTCTAGTCAAGGAAGGCTGAGAGGTTTGGTCTCACTTTGTGGGAAGCTAAACGGAAGATCTCTCTCCTGAGTAGCTTCCGATACGATAGGCATCACTTCTGACTCAGCTAATGCAATCCTTCATCCTTCTGGGGAGTGGTAATCTGGAAAAACAGCCTACAGATCTATTACGTTGACTTTTTAGCGATTAGGATGCATCTACAGACAACAGTTAAACCTCACTAATGTGGATAAGACAAGACTTCAAAAATGTGACTAAGAATCATGGATGATTAAATTCAACATAACCATAGGAAATAAACCACACTATAATAAGACTTTGTGAGGCAAAAAAAAAAAAGTTTGGTGACATAGATTATTGAATTTTTATGTGTGTGAGTGTGTGTTTAGGTGAGTTCCAAATAACCTATTTTAAATATAAGTGAACATATGAATTAGTTTTGGCACTAAATGTTAAGATCACAGAAGGGTCATGAGATGTTATTTCCGGTTCCTCTTGACACCATACTTCACCTCATTGCCACTCTGCACAAACTTAACATGCATTGTTTGCAGAATATAAAGAAAGCATTTTTTTTTACAGCTGGCAAGCAGGTAATAGAAAATCCCCACTAGAAGTGGGATGTTGGATTGCCCAACCTAATCAGGAAGCACTCTGTAACTTAACCTGGGTTCTCATGGGAATCATTCTGGCCCATGGCCCATGTCTGGCTCTTGTCTAGGCATCTCTGATGTGGGTCCTGTGCAAAGACAGATAGGTTTGTGAATAATCTAAGCGTCCCTGCAGTTGAGAATGACAGCACCAAGTACCATTAGGAGGCAGAGCTATTTAAAGGGAAGCCAGTCTCCTTATCTGCACTGTGTCCAGGTAATAAAGCATGGCACAGTGATATTTTTGTACCAAGCTATAATAAAACAATCCATAAAATGGCACTGATTTCTGGGGAAGCTGGAATGAATTACTGTTTGTCAAAGCAATGAAATTTTAGTCATAACACTACAGAGTAATGTAATATGAATTAAAACATTCTTAATGGTTTGCAGCTTCCAAAACATTTCATGCTCTTTTGCTCTTAAGTCTCATATTGATTCTTTTCGGAAGATAAGAAAAATTCTCCCATCCTCATTTTGCATCTAGGGAAAGGAAGGCCGGGGAAAGAGTTAAGAAGTAGAAAAATCCAGGATTGGAAGTCAAGCCACAAGAGAATCTGCCACAATAAATTTTTAATGGTTTCCAGATTACAAACCACTTTCTTCACAGTCACTGGCAAACATCCCACGGCTCTACACATCTGGTTAACCACTTTACTTGTATTACCCAACTATCATATTTTAAGCTGTTGAAATCCTCAGTCTCTCTACTCCTGGCCTTTGAGGCCAAAGTGATGTCAAAAGTCCAAGAGCCTTTCAGGTTAACCAGCCTGCAACTGCTACTTACTTTTTAAATCCCTCTCTTCTAGATTAGTGCAAAGTCCTGTCTTCTCTGCAAAGGTTTATCTGACAAAGCCAGTTGAAATATACTGCTTCTACCTTTGATCTTTGAAGATGAATGTACTTGCAATAACTATCTAATGAAGCAGAGTTTAATTGTTACTTAATTTTGCTTTTGTTTCCCTTGAGCTAACTATAAACTCTTTAGAGTCAGCGGTGGTATCTTACATTTCTCACATAAACGCCGATGAATTTCAAGTTCAATAGCAAGCAGTCTATGAACAGTTGATGACAGATAATGATAACATTTTATCTTGTAGTGTTCTTTAAATTACAAGTGAATCTTAAAGTTAAGGAGGAAAGAATAGGACTGTATTCTGTCCATTGGTTTTCATCTATGTTGGAAATTGTTTCCTGGTTATTCTTAGGGCCAGTTCAAATTATATTTTCAGTCCTTAAATCTGAAACTATTAAAAAATATTCAGAAACCAGTATAATATTTAATATTAAAAATTACACAACTAAAGTATCAACCAAATTACATATTTTCTGGGACTTAGAGATTAGTGAAAATAAATGATCAGGGAAAATTCTGATTAAGGTATACTGTGCTGAATGTTATCAGTGTGGAAATGTTATTCTAAATTTGTCTCTTCTAACAAATCAGAGAGGTCTTTACTTATGTGTTCACTACATGATCTCAGCCTTTTGAAATATTTTTCTAAGTTTCTACTTTCCTTTATGTCTATTACTTTTTATAGTACCTTTAAGAAATGCTATATGATTGCAGTAATTAAAGATGTAGATATATCATTATCAGAATATCAGTATAAGAGTTTATCCATAAGAGCTTAAGTGGAGGATAGAATTACTTGCTTGCACAAGAAATGGAAAAAGCCATTTGTTTACTTTTGGGTTAATTTTCTGATATCAATGCAGTCTGTTTCCTTTCACATTGGGCTTGCATTCTAATGAAGAGGCAACATTATTAGGTAATAATTTTGCTTCAAAATTGCCCAGATTTACTGTGAAATGTCAGGAACGTATTCCCTCCTATTGTCCATTATCTTTTTCCCCTGCCAATTTCATAATAAATCTTTTTGCAAAGGAAGTAAATGGATGAATCTTGATTGAGTTCAAACTGAGGTAGGCTGCAAGTAACCAGGAGGTAGCTAGGTATATCTTATTCAGCTGAGCAAGCTTGCAGAAGGGTTTTGTTGACAAGAGATGACACATAGAAAAAAAAAAGATGAGGATTAAAGTTTTAAATGTTTCAGAAAGCCTTGGATTTCTCAGAAATAGGAAGCATTCATTGCTTTCTTCAGAAATTTTGTCTGGACTAAGCAAAAATAAATATTTGGGCTATTTCTTCTTATTTTTGAACTACAGTTTACATACAATATTATTCTGTACTAATTTCAGATGTACAGCATAGTGGTTATACAATCATTTACTTTACAGAGTGATCCCCCTGATATTTCAAATACTCCCTCCTTAGTTATTACAGTATTATTGACTATATTCCCTGCTCTGTAATTAATATCTCTGTGACTATTCTTAAATAGCATTTTTGAGAAGTCCTTGGTATGATACTGCAGAGGTCCTTTATGGAAATTATACTTTTAATACTATGTTTAATAATGGTCATTTACTACACTGCTTTTGACACCATTAAACTTTATACCATTTTTATAAAGAATAATATCCACTTCTGCATGAACTCACAATAGATTTATTCTCATTTAACATATATTAGAACCTCACTGATTGCTGTTTTCATAGGAGTAATTATGATGTATTTCTATGTGTGACATATACTTTCTAGATAAGCAAAACCCTTTTTATTTCCTTGTCACTAGGTGAACAATTAGTACACACGAACACACACACCCAACCACCATCACTACTAACAATAACAACAACAATGCTATGAATATTTGTGCAACCCCAAAATTCATATTGAATTCCTAACCTCTCATGTGATTGTATTAGGAGGTGTGCTGTATGAATGGGATTAGTATCTTATGAAAGAGG